GGGCACCGCAGCCCGGCTTGAGCCCAGCCACGGCCCCGAGCCAGCCGCGCGATAGGAGCGACCCGAGTGTTTCCCCAGGAGCAAAAATCCTCGTCCCCGCGCCGAGCTCCGCATCCCCGAGGGCGGCTGCGGCCCAGGGCAGGCGCTTCCCCCCAAGCACTGTCCTAGTCACGGGGGTTTCCCCGTCGCTCTGCCGGTCACGAAGAAAAAAGGGAAGACGAAGGGGTTCCTCTGCCCTGCTCTGTGTTGGGGACATGTCTGTGGGAGCCCCGTCCAAGAGCTGCGCCTTGTCACTTTTTTTCACACTGAGACAAACGTGCGCTGGGATTTTCAGCCACGTGCCAGATCTCCGGGGTGGCTGAATAGTGATCCTGCAGCTCCCTGCTTTTAAGGTGAGAGCTTGAACCACCCCTCTGTCCCGCACCGAAGCATCTGATTTACACTGCCAGGCGCGGTTCCTTCCCATCGGTGAATCAGCCCAGTGCTGAGAGGAAGAGGCAAGCTCAGTGCTTTGCCCTTCCCTGGTTGTGTGACTGCAGACCGCAGGCCCTGCGTGGGTGGAGACAGCAGCTGGTTTTGTAACCTCTCCTCCCCCAACCAGCCTCGGGGTTCCCCCTCGCCACAGCCAGTGTCTCTGCAGACAGTTTGAGCCGGCACCAAGAGGAGCGGCAGGACAGGCTCCTGGGGCCTTGGAGTGTGCTTTGAAGGGAGCTTTGTGCATCAAGAAGCCCCACAGGAGAAACAGCTGGATCAGGTGAGAAAATGCGGACCTAGATCAGTGTGAAGGGGCAGTGCAGTGGGCCATGAGCATGCCTAGGTTTTCTCCTGGGTGGGAGGGGATCTAGCTGTGTGCACTGAAGGGACAATTTGCATTACGGAGGAAATTGCATAGAGGGGTTCTCCTTTTCCTTTAATAGTGTTTTAAAGCTTCCCCTTGTGGTTTGCAACTTGCCCTCCAAGTGCTGTCTAGGAAGGTTTGGAGAGGTTGTTCATTTACTCCTTAATTACAGCACATGGCAAAGAGGATCTGTATGGTACTTTTTGGCTCTTCTGTTAGTTTAGTCTGCGGCTTTTTGAATCAGGGTAGTAGCCAGAGGCCCCTGAGATAAGGTCAGGATATGTTCCTTAATTTCTTTTTTAATCTGCTCAAGTTAAAGTTAGGAAACCACATGCTCTCTGTCCCACAGCTTTATCCCAATCTTGTTCTGGGAAAGTTGGGTACTGGGCTGTGGACTGGGAGGTCACTGGAAATCCAGCCCAGACCGGTGGCAACTGACAGCTGCTAATGGTTAACAGCTGCTGGGTGATTTCTCTCTGGTTTCTTGTGGAGAGTTACCAAAAAAAGTGGCATTGCCTGGCTCACCAGAATGGGGTTTCAGTGATGGGCAGGATGATGCTCTCTCCTAGTCCTAGAGACTTTTACTTCCTTTTCCCTGCTGAGGCATGCTAGGAGGGGAGAGGAGGGATGAGATTTATATTGTTTCAGTTAGTTGGTAGATCAAAAATGTTCGTTTCCACGGCTGCCAGTCTAACATCTTCCAACAACTCCTTTCTACAGGCGTGGACAACGTACACAGGGTAGTTTCCTGCAGGGCAAGTGTTGAGAGCATGTGTGGTCCTGTTAGGCTTGGGGGTTGCATATGTTGTTCCCAAGGGTCTAAGCTCCATTTGTGTTGTCTCCCCCCACTTGGCCACTGTCCTAAGGCAGGAAGTGTGACAAGCTGAACTCGGAATGAAGCACAGCTGCATCCACTGGTTCCGCAAGGGGCTGCGTCTGCACGATAACCCTGCCTTGTTGGCAGCAATGAAAGACTGCAGTGAGCTATATCCCATCTTCATCCTTGACCCCTGGTTCCCAAAGAACATGCAGGTCAGTGTCAACCGTTGGAGGTTTCTGGTTGAGTCGCTGAAGGATTTGGATGAGAGCCTGAAGAAACTGAAATCAAGGCAAGTACAAATTGAGCAGGTGTCAATGCAGGCAAGCTGTCCTCAGGCTGGTTCAGGAGTGAAACATGGAAATACCTTAGGCTTGATTTTTGCAAGCCTCTCCTGCAGGACTCTCAGCGCATTCAGAGAGAGCTGCGGGCTTACAAGCCTTGGCCTGATACATGCTGGAATTATGCTTCATTGGATCAGAAGCCAGAGCAATAGCCTAGAACCAGAGGCACCCACTGATCTCTCAGCAAGGTGCCTGAGGGGTCCCTTAATACCTCAGGAAAGAGTTACTGTGGAGATGCAGGTCCCAGCTTGCAATATGCCCTCTCACTTGGGAGTGCCCTGGTCAGCCCTGGGGGCAATATGGGTCCCAACATGCAGTTTCCTCTCCTGACTTGGGCCAAGCCTGAGTTTCTGTGCTGAGCCTTTCCCCAGCCTCTGGCTGACTGCAGGTGCTGACCATGTCTCTACAGGCTGTTTGTGGTGCGTGGCCATCCAGCAGAGGTGTTCCCGGGCCTTTTTAAAGCATGGAAGGTGACACGGCTGACATTTGAGGTAGATACAGAGCCCTACTCCAAGCAGCGTGATGCAGAGGTAGTGAGACTGGCAGCTGCACATGGTGTCCAGGTTATCCAGAAAGTGTCCCACACCTTGTACGACACTGACAGGTTGGTACCAGGGATGGGGACCCTGCCAGGTTCGTTCACTTCTGCACATTAAAGTTGCTTAAGCCATAAGAAGATGAAGGTGTAGGCGCTCTTTGCCTTGTAGTCTTGCCCCTGGTAATGGAAAACCCTTTGTTTTCCACAGGGTAATTGCTGAGAACAATGGCAAAGTGCCTCTGACCTATAGACAGCTGCAAGCTGTGCTGGCTGGGCTGGGACCCCCAAAGCAGCCTGTGCTAGCTCCCACTCTGGAGACCATGAAGGGTGAGTATGGGGCAAATCCTTCTGTTAATATGATAGTTTTCTGTTAGAGATTCCAGGACTGGGTCTGCAGACTTCTGGGATTGTTAAATTCCCCCAAATCCTCCTTGTGTGCCCAGCAGACAAGGAGTCACTTTCCTTTCCTTTCCTAGCTCTTGGTGTTGTGAGGCTGGCTTCCACCCCAGAGGTGGCTGCATTTCGGTGCTTGTGTTAGGAATTTAGTTCTGTAAGGCATTTTTGAGATTCTTTACAGCTGAAGGGGCTAGAGGAATGTACAGTATATTTCAGAACAGCAGCACTGACTGCATGTTTCCCCAGATTGCTGTACTCCCGGCAGAGACAACCGTGATCCAAAGTATGAGATCCCTACGCTGGAGGAGCTGGGACAGGACCCGAAGGAAGCAGGTCCTTGTCTCTACCCAGGGGGGGAATCTGAGGCACTTTCCAGGCTGGATTTTCACATGAAGAGGATGGTAGGTGCCCAGCATTGATCCTGTCTCTCCCTCTGCTTCCTCCAGGGAAGAGCTGACACTGATTTACTGAGTTATAAAGCAAAAAGTGTCACAGAACATCTTGGGATTGCACGCAACTTTGCACTTGGGTTACCTGGACTTTGGCAGGAGTAGCACTGAGGGACCAAAACAGTGCAAGTATTTCCCATAAAACTACATTTGAAGGGAAAGTTTATACTTTAATCCCTAGTTTACTCCCATGGCCTTATGGCTGAGAGCAAGCGAAACTCAGGGGCATCTGAATCCCAGGCCTCTGGACTTGGGCCTGCACGTAGGATGCCTGCCAAAGGATTTGGAAACATCTGAAGCCCCAGGTAGGGTGGAGGATGTTTGGTGGTAGTAGGGCCATGCATGGTTCTTGACTGACTCATGGATTTTAAATTGATTTGGCTGATTTGGCTTGGAACATGAAAAATTCTCTTTAAAAAAAAAAAAAAAGTTTATGCTTTAATAAATCATCTTTCCTAGGTGCAATAAGTTTTGTCAGAAACTCCCAGCCAGCTCCTGGGGAGGAAAAGACATTCAGTCCTTCTCCCTTTTCCTCAGACAAAGAGCCCCTGCTTTGCACAGCTGAGCTTTAGCTTCCTCTCACCTCCTTGTCTTTCTTTTCTCAGACCTGGGTGTGTAACTTTAAGAAGCCTGACACGGAGCCCAACACCCTCAGCCCAAGCACCACCGTGCTCAGCCCTTACGTTAAGTTTGGCTGCTTGTCAGTGCGAACCTTCTGGTGGAAGCTGACTGAGATCTACAGAGGGGTAAGGCAGCGGCCCACTCAACTTGGTAGTTCTTTTATTAGGTGGTAGCTCTTTGCTGTCTGGTGCAGTGACATTAAACTACTGGAGCAGGCAGGTATGAGGTGGATGTAATAGTGTTCCTAATCAGTGAATTGTGCTCTGCAGGGACTGCTGAAGCTTCTGGGGCACGGGGCTTTTGGAATAATTTCTACTGCTCTCAATGAGTTAAATTATCTGCATGCCTTGATCAGAGAGGAGGCTGTCTTTGACCCAAAGGACATAGAGCTTGTATGGCAGTAGGACCTACTCAGCAAAACAGTACTTGGGTGAGATGAATAATGCAGCGAGTTAGAATTAGCTCTGAGCATTGGGGGCCTGGGCTTGCACCCTCAGATTGCAAGAGAGCCTTGTCCTAATCTGAGTTTGTCCATATTTCCAAAGGACTTCACAGTTTGGTGTTATGGGTAACTTCTGGTCAAGAGAGTCCAGGCCTGGAACAGCAGGGTATATCATGGATCAGGATTAAGGTGCTTTGACTGAGTCACATGGGGGTATCCCATAACTGGAGTAATAGGAGGGTTGCCAGTCAAGGCTGCAGTGCTTTGGCTACTCTGTTTTTGTGTGAGAAGTTTGGAAAACCCCTCCCTGGATTATGCCCAGCTCTAGCCAGTCCTATTTCAGAGGTCTCACAGAATCCAGTGAATGGGCACAGCAAGGCCCGGAAGCCAATAGCAGTAAGCCGAGATCCCTTTCCAGGGCAACCTTCTTTAATGTTCTTGTGTTCATTCTTGCAGAAGAAACACTCCTCCCCACCAGTTTCTTTGCACGGGCAACTGCTGTGGCGGGAGTTCTTCTACACAGCAGGGGCTGGGATCCCCAACTTCAACAGGATGGAGGGAAACCCCATCTGTGTGCAGGTGGACTGGGATGACAACCCGGAGTATGTCAAGGCATGGAAGGAGGTACTCAATCTTGCCAGTGTGGGCCAGACACTAAAATACTCCAATGACAGCAGCTTGATCTTCGCTGTAGTGCCTTTTGGCTAGGTACTCCAAAGGCCCTGCTCCTACTCTAACTGATGGAGAATTCAGGGACAAGGCCAAAGGCAATAGAGGTTGTGCGGACTAGATGGAACACCTGGGAGTCAAGGCCCAGGATTTCTGATGTTTTGCTGGAAGAACTGCAGCAAGCTTCATCAGTTCCTAATATGCATTCACTGAAAGCTGCAGCCACATATTAAAACTGGCTGATTTATATTAGGCTTTGTGCTCAGAGGCCAAATACATCTGGAGGTGTCTGCAGTTCTCCCAGGAATCATTCTGACCCACAATATCTTGTGCTTGTCTTTAAAGGACAGCTGTTTAGTACAAGGACTTATTTTATACAGTGTGACGAGTCTGTGTTCTGAAGATGGATACAGTTACGAGAGGAAATCATACTGGTCTGGGAATCCAGGTCTTAGCCCAAGCCTGGTCCTTCAATGTCAAAAGCTCAGCACCTGCCATGTCAACTAGCAGAGAGCCCCATGATTAACAAAAGTTATATGGTCTTTATCAGTCTGGGCCTGAGCTCTGGGGGCAGCCTCCCATAGCCTGAGTGAGGTGCTCTTGGCCTTGCTGGAGCTGCCCTGTAAGTACCTGGCTGGGTCAGTCTGCTGGGGGTTAATCTCAAGTTCTGTTTCTTTGGCAGGGCCGGACGGGCTACCCCTTCATTGATGCCATCATGACCCAGCTGCGCACTGAAGGCTGGATCCATCACTTGGCCCGGCATGCTGTGGCCTGCTTCCTGACACGAGGAGACCTCTGGGTGTCCTGGGAGGAGGGACAAAAGGTTAGCAGCTTTTGTCTGCTGTTAACTCATGGCACTGTGGTCCCACTGTGAGCGGGGAACTGCGTAGGTCTTGTCAGGGGTTGCTTAACAAAATCACTACGGGCAAGGGATGCTCCGGCAGTTGCCAGTGATACTGTCTGTGGCTGGCTTTGAATGGGAGAGAAGCCAGAGACTGCTGAGAGCTTCAGTGGCTTCTTATCCAGTTAGAAACCAAACCTCTTCAGAGTAGTTGGTGAGGGTTTGAGGCTTTAGCCTGCCTGGACCTCTGGGCCCACACAGCAAGCCGGGTATAGGGAATAGCTCCCCACACTATAGTGCAAGGGAATGGCACCTGCCTGTTCCAGTGGCCCCTACTTCGCCTGCACTCTGAAGTGGCTGTTCCCTAACTACAGTAATAGGGCACCCATATCAGTGGTATTTTATATCACTTACAGGGCTGTCTTTACTCTTCCAAAGCTGAGGCATCTTTTCCCAGTCCCTGGAGTTTCTTGTAGTTTCAGAGAGAAGCTAATCTGAAGGCAATTCCTGGCTGCATTTGCTGGCCTATGTCAGTAGGAAAGGAATTTCCTGCTTTCATAGAATCCTAGAATTGTAGAGAAGTAGGGCTGGACCGGACCTCCAGAGATGCGGGACCTCCAGGGGCCAGCAATGTTTTTGGGCAGAGTGCCAAAATACTCACAACATTGACTTCTAAGATGCTGGCATGCCGAGGCAGACAGCCAAGAAGCCACGAGGGGCCTAATCCTTGTTGGGGCAGCCCAGCCCCGGCCCCTTCTCCAAGGCATGAGTACCAAGCAAAATGCCTTCTCATGACACTCTTTGGCACATGTACCCGGGAATGCCTAACTCTGATCTAGTCTAACCCCCTGCCTGAGCCAGGATCATCCCTATCCAAACCATCCTATACAAGCCATCATGTAAACTCTGCACAAGACTACCCTCAACTCTGATGCAACACAGACCTAACATCCTAACCTGCCACTGTTAAAGCAGGGAACCATAGCAGCCAGCATCTTGCTTCTATGAAATGTTGTCAATATATGTCCAAGAGATCCCAGGTAGAAGGCCATGCCCCACGCTACAGAGGAAGGCAAAACCCTCTACAGTCCATACCAATCTGACCATGGGTTAACATTTCTTCCTGCCCCCAAATCTGGTGATCAGTCTGACCCTGAGTGGAAGGGCAAGACCCTCCAGCCAGGAACCTCTGGCTTGGTTCCCAGCAGGAGCATTGGCATGCCCCAGTCAGTCCCCCGCTTTGGCTGTAGCCAACACCCAGTGCCTTTGGTGAGGCTTAAAAACACCCTGATGCACGTAACAGAAAAGGGGGGTGGGGAGTGGGGACAACCAGCAAGGCTTAGAAGCTATGGGAAATACCCATAGCAGAACACAGGCATAGCTATGCCTAGATCATCACCAACCTTTTCTGGAACCTCCAGTGAGGGAGAGTCCACAGCTACCCTAGAGAGTCTATTCTGCTACCTTACTGCTCTAACACTGAAAAAGTTTTCCCAGATGTCCAATCTAAACTTACTTTGTTGCAGCTTCCAGCCTGTGAGCTGCAGCAAGAGAGAAAAGGTGCTTTCCCTCTTCTTTATGGCAGCACTTCAAGTATTTGAAGACTGCTATCATGCCCCCCTTAAGCACCTTTTTGACAAGCTGATCATACCTAGCTCCTTCAACCTCTCTTCATATGACTTGCCTTCTAAGCCCTTGATCATCTTTGTTGCCTGGCTCTAGACCCTCTCTAACTTCTCCATGTGTGTTTTTTTTGTTTTTGTTTTTTTTAATGTGGAGCCTAGAACTGTACACAGTACTCCAAATGAGGCCTAACCAATGCCAAGTAGAGAGGAGTATCACCTCCCATGTCTTGCACCTAATGCTTCTATTGATGCAGTCCAAAACTGCATTCACATTTTGTGTGGCTGCATCACACTGTAGACTCATTGAATCTGTGATCTATAAAGACTCCCAAGTCCTTTTCCATCAAGCTGCCATCCAGCCAGGTGTCCCCCATTTTATATTTATGTTTTTGATCATTCTTCCCAAGGTATAGCAGTTCGCATTTGTCCACATGGAACTTCATTCTGTTAACTCTAGCCTAATCTTCCAATCTGTTGAGATCCTTCTGAATTGCACTTGCATCATCCAAGATGTTCACAATCCTTTCCAGTTTTGTGTTGTCTGCAAACTTGCTCAAGAAGCTTTCTATGCCCGCATCCACTGTTCAATCACTAATAAACATGCTGAACAGCACTGGGCCCAGGACAGGCCCCTGTGGGGCTCCACTCGGAACCTCCTGCCATTCTGACATGGACCTGTTAATCATTACCCTTTGCTTGCGGCCATTGAGCCCGTTATCTATCCACCTTGTAGGAGTTTCATCTAGTTCACATTTCTCCAATTGGTTTGCCAGAAGGTTGTGAGGAACTTTGTCAAAAGCCTTGCTGAAGTCCAGATACACTGTATCCATTTCCTTCATCCAAGTAGTTACTTTGTCAAAGGAGATCAGATTTGCTTGATGTAATTTGCTTTTCATAAATCCATGCTGGCTGCTTGTGATTGGCTTTTCGTCTTCCAGAGGTTTGCAAATGGCCTTCCTTAGGATATACTCCAGTCACTTCCCAGGTATTGAGGTGAGGGGAACTAGTCTGTAGTTCCTCAGGTCCCCCTTTTTGCCTTATTTTTTTAAAGAGGGGCACTTTGTTGTCTCTTTTCCAGTCCTCTGGTACCTGGCCCATCTCCCACAACTTCATGAAGAACATTGCTAAGGGCTCTAAGCTCTCCTCTGCCAGTTCTTCCATCCTTCTGGGGATGAAGGAACTGGCAGAGCCTGCTGGCTTGATTTCATCAAGACCTCTCTTACTGTCTTGTTCCTGTCCTCCCTTCTCTGCCTGCCTACTGCAGGGCATGGACAGCAAGACCAGCCTGCAGGCTGACAGCAGTGACTTCCTAGGGACCTGCTGCCTGAGGGTAACACCTCTCCCCTGCTTTGGTGCCCACAGCCCAACAACTATGGGCTAAGGTCATGTTTAGGCTGGTAACCAGTGGAGCCCAGGGTAAAGGGGAGTGGTGTGCTTTCGGGTGTGGGGGAGGTACGGAGACTTTTGGCCTCTAGCCCTTTCCCACTCCCTCCACGCTTCCCATTTCAGGTCTTTGAGGAGCTGCTGCTGGATGCTGACTGGTCCCTGAATGCTGGCAACTGGCAGTGGCTGTCGGCAAGTGCCTTTTTCCACCAGTTCTTTCGTGTCTACTCACCTGTTGCCTTCGGCAAGAAGACGGACAAGAGCGGAGCGTATATTAAGTAGGTTTAAGCAGAGGCCAGGTCTGAGCCCAGCCTGCCCTGGGAGAGATGTCGGTATTTGCTGAAGCCTGTGAGTACTTGCTCAGTGGTGTTTGGCTGGAACACCCATTGCAAAGGGTTCACGGGACTCTGTCCATCCAAAGGAACTAGTGATGGAAGAGGATGCTTGCTCCTCTCGGCTCTTGGTCTCAGGCTAACTCAGCTTGGTGGTGATCGCTAGTCACCGCCAATCAATAGCTCTTGGGTAGCCTCAGCATTTGGGAACTTTTGTCTTTTTTTTTTAGCTGCTGTGGTCAGATTGCCTCCTGGCTGGCAAGTGAGGGGCTAAAAAGTGGGTGGATCAAGGGGACTGTCCACCACCAGGCCTCCTTGTGAGGTTGGGTCATACAGTATTGAAAGCAGCTGCTGTAGTTGCTGATCCTACCCTGTGGGTCCACTAGGTCTGTCAGGAGACCACTGTATTCCCATGTTGGCTTGTTTCTTGTGTGGTTGCTGATTCCTTTTCCCTGGGGCTTGGTTGTTGCACAGGAAATACCTCCCCATCCTCAGGAAGTTCCCTGCTGAGTACATCTATGAGCCCTGGAAGGCACCAAGAAGCATGCAGGAGCAGGCAGGCTGCATCATTGGCAGAGACTACCCCAGACCTATCGTGGAGCATGAAGCTCTGAGCAAGAGGAACATCATGCGCATGAAGGCAGCATATGCCCAGCGGTCACACAGCAAAGCTGCCCAGGTGGAGAAAGAGAGTACCAAGAAAGGTAATCATGCTCCCACTGAGCTATTTTGGAGCCTGGGGTATCTAAGGTTGATGCATGAAATGCAAGGGGATGGGAAGCAGGGACAACTCTGCCTGGGTGGAGCAGTGTAGCTTGGTTGAGACAGTATCAGCCTGTGACAAGGAAGCCCTAAGATTTATTAACCTTGCTTCACTCTGCCCTTGGGGAGGGACACATCAAGTTAGTCACAGCCCTGCACTGGGCCCAGGTTCCCCAGAGATACCTGCCTACTCTGTGAAGTGCTTTGAGACAGGAATGAAAAGCGCCCTTAAAAATCAATGTCATTACATTACTGCATGGCTCTTCCTACCAGCTGAGGGGTGCCAGACCTTTCTGAGCCACCCATGCTCTGAATCACTCTATCCACAGGACTTGGTGCACAAGTGCAGTGTCTGTGAGTGGGGAAGGTAGGACACTCCTGCCCTCCTCAGTCAAATCACCTGGCTGCTCTCCTCTCTCATTAGGTGGCAAACGGAAGCTGCCGGCTGGTCCCTCTGTGGTTGAACTGCTGACAAAGAAACCAAAGGCCAAAAGCAGCTGAATCCTTCAGTGCAGGTCAGATCTTAACCCAGTGGCCCTGCTCCTTCTGGGCCTGAAGGCAGGAGTGTCAGCTGCCATGCATGACTCAAACATCATAAGACCCCGTTTATATCCCAGCTGGCTGTGTAACAGGGTCTTGGGGGTTGTTCTGACCCAGATTGCCTAAATTCAAGGGAGCTGCTGTAGTTTTTTAGTACCAGCTATGCCATTGGCTTGGGAAGTATACTAAATTTCTTTCTTCAGCCCTTCAGGCTGGCATTTCTCATGCTGCTTCTTAGCCAAACATATGGTGTGTTTGAAACCCCAGGGAAACACTGGATCAGTCTGAGAAATGAGTGCTGTGCAATGGATTTACTGTCCCAGGATGCTGACGGGGGGGGGGGCGGGGGAGGAGGAGAGTGTGACTGTCCCCATTTTAAACGCAGCAGGCTGAGACCTAGGGAATGGTGGGCAGGTTTCCAATGGAAGCTGTTGTGTGCTCCCAGACTTGTCCAGATCACTGTGGCAGATTTGGAAAGCGAGCCTAGCCCTTTAGTGAAGCACCAGCCCCACATACCCTCCTCCCTCTATGCTGATCCATTGTCCCATGAGCCCTGACCCACATTTAAAACCTGGCTTTTAAAAAATTACTTTTTTCCTCCTTGAAAGTCTCTTGGAGGAAGTAACATAACAAATATGCACAGACTCATCTGGTATGAGACATGCCTCTGGCTCTTGCATTATGAGCCCAAATATACAGCCAGCTTTCAGGGAGCAGAGAAGCAATTTTTATTTATGAGCAAATAAAAAGACCTGCATGTTTCTGAAGGCCCCTGCCCCGGGAAGTGGTGCTGATGATCATAGTCATATCCCTTGTAAGGTCAGGAGGAATCAGACTCTGGGGCTGCCTTGTACTGATCTTGCAATGCTGCTTGCTCATTGTCACCCACATCCCCTAGAACCTGTTTCACCTGTTCATTCCTTGCTTAATTCCATCATCACCTGGATACATCCTCCCTTGAAAATTTGTACCCAAAACTGCAGTGGGTCATATTTGGGGATACTTTCCAGACATGCAGGTATCCCCCAAATTGGGCTGGCTACCATCATGCTTGGTCTCCATCAGCAGCTAATGATAAACTATACTAATTTTTATAATTTTTTGTTTTTACAAAATGTATTCTGTATAAAATGTTTTAGTAGTCTGATCTAATCAATAAATGAGCAGTTTGTTTATACTTGGCTCTTGTGAAGGGAAAATGATACCCTGAATCATGCAGAGAACCAAGGAGGCTGGAGGAATTAGAGCTTGCTTGCTGTTTAAAATAGAGACCACTGGGGGTTGCTTCAGGTCAGAAGCTAACAATAGGGCCTTTCTGTATCTCTCTCTCCAGACTTAACGTTCTTTTCCATGTTTTTCTGCCTTAGGCAATAAACCTGTTTGGGATTTTTATCTTAATTAAGGGATAAGCACAGGTGGTTGCCATCAGCAGATATTCTCATATGGAGACTGCAGACCTACTTCTTGCAAACTCAAGGAACCCATAAAATTCCCAGAATCTTCCTCCATTGAACCGTCAGGGTGTTGGTGAGACCAAGTCTTGTTCAAAGCAGTAGTGTCTCCCGTGAACAAGATCCAGCCAGAACCCTGATATGCAGCAGCACCCCGTTCTCCCACCCATTCTCATTAAAAAGCTAGGCGACTGTGGTATTGATGCCTACACAGTCAGATGGGTCCCAAATTGGCTGAGGGGCCACACTCAGTGAGTGGTGGTGGATGGGTCATATTCGACCTGGAGGGATGTGAGCAGTGGAGTCCCCCAGGGCTCAGTCCTTGGGCTGCACTGTTCAATTTCTTTATTAGCAACTTGGATGAGGGGGTTAAAAGCACTGTTTAAATTCACGGATGACACCAAGATCTGGGGCGAGGTGGGAATGCCAGAAGGGAGGGACAGGATACAGCTGGACCTGGACAGGTTACAGGGGTGGGCAAATGAAAATAGGATGGGATTCAATACTGACAAGTGCAGGGTACTGCACTGGGGCAGTAAGAACCAGCAGCATACCTATAGGCTGGGGAACTCTCTTCTCGAAAGCACAGTGGCAGAAAGAGGTCTTGGAGTCATTATCGATTCCAAGATGAACATGGGTCACCAATGCGAGGACAGTCAGTAGGGCTAACCGCACATTGTCATGCATCCACAGATGCATCACAAGCAGGGCCAAGGTGGTGATCCTCCCCCTCCATGCGACACTGGTCAGGCTGCAGTTGGAGTACTGCGTCCAGTTCTGGGCGCCACACTTCAAGAGGGATGTGGACAACATGGAGAGGATCCAAAGGAGGGCCATTCGTATGATCTGGGGACAGCAGGGCAGACCCTATGAGGAGAGGCTACAGGACCTGAACCTGTTCAGCCTTCACAAGAGAAGGCTGAGAGGGGACCTGGTAGCTGACTATAAACTTACTGGGGGGACCAGCAGGGAATGAGAGAGACCTTGTTCCCCCAAGTGCCTCCCAGAGTAACAAGGAATAACAGCCCTAAATTGTTGGAGAGTAGGTTCAGACTAGACATTAGAAGGCACTACTTCACAGTTGGGGTGGCTAGGATCTGGAACCAACTTCCAAGTTGGCTGGCTTCTACCTTGGGGGTCTTTAAGAGGAGGCTTGACAATTACTTAGCTGGGGTCATTTGAGCCTGATTTTCTCTCCTGCCTAGGGCAAGGTCCCTTCCAACCCTACACCTATGAATAATGGGGAGAGGGCCTGGGATCACCCCAAGGCAAGACCAGGACTCATCACAAACACCCTGGGAAGTCCTGGGAGAGGTTTTAAGGACCAAAATATTGGGACCAAACTGATCTCTGTTTCTTCATTATGTTTGTTTGTAACATCCCTAGATTTTGATGTCCTGATGATGTTCAGGATCACCTTTACAGCTGGTGCTATAACATCTCAAATAGCATACTACTTACACTGTGTTAGACAGGTGACTTGTTTTCATGTGTGCTGGCCCATGGCCAAAAACACTGGCTTTTATATGGCCTCTCAGGCTTATTTCAGTTTTCTCTGCTCCTCCTACCTTGCACAGCTGAGCATAACTTGCCCATGGCAGGGGAACAGACTTGATGATTTTGCAGGTCCCTTCTGGTCCTTCAGTTCTATGATTTTATGATTCTGTAACACAACTGGGAGATGCAAAAAGCTGGCTGATGGCTGGATGTGGCTGTGGTGTGCCGGATGATGCAAAGCATCCCTCTTTAAAGTATAGCTCCTAAAAAACAGCTCCCATCTCCCCCTCCACCCCACAATCATCCCCAGTGTGGCCAGCCTAAAGTCACTGAATCACTTTATTGTTGCTTCATTACAAATCAGAAATACAATCAGAGCTAAGACATGGATACAATCCCTGATATGCAAGTGGAATCTTTAGGAGCAGCTCTGGTCAGCAGGGAAGTATGTAGGATGCAATCCATTCAGGCCTACCTCCCCTGGTCTCTCTATACCCCTCCTACAGACTCAGCAATGGTGTAAGATGGTGGTTGCAGGGTCTAACAGTAAAATGGCATCTCCAGAACATCTGCATCTCAGCTTTTCAACTGTCTCCCTGCCACAACAACTGCACAGCACTCCCTGCTCCTCTCACTCCAGATGTCCTGCACAGAGCAGTGGGAGCCTCCAACCTGAGTTCTTCCATGCCTGAAATCCCAGCTGCCTGGCTCTGCAGGCTCCCAACCTGAGGAACAGAGGAGTAGTGGCTGAAGTTACGTTTCCCATCTGAGAGGCAGGAAGATCAGCTGCTTCAGCTCAATAGGGATCCAATGATGAAAGACTGATACTAGGAGACTAGTCTTCAGGCATCAAGTCCCTACAGCTTCTAGTGGCTTCAGCTGAGGCTGGAGCATGCTCAGCAGTGACCAAGCATCTGAGTGAAGTGAACCTGAGTTCCCAAAAACTTGTGCTCTCTCTAGATAGCTTATATAGTATATAAAAATGCACATCTACCCTGCCTTCAGTAACAAAGTGCCATTCACAGAGACAGCATAGAGCCTCCAAGGGACTAGAGACACCAGGCAAGGCACTTGCTCCAACAAAGTGAGGTTCAATCCAAGTCCCATGAGGCTCAAACACAATCCTTAGTCCCTTCCCCCACCTTGGATAACAGCTCTTAAACATACCTCCACCAACTGTTCCCAGCAAGAAGCGTGAATGGAGGATGGCAAGGGGAAAATTGAAGTGCTTCCATTAGTGGGGAGCACTGCAGGCACCAGCCTACTCCCCAAACTAACCCCTACACTTAGCATCCAGGGAACCCCTATATAGGCAGCCATGGTTTGGGTAGGAGCCAGAGGCTCCCTGGGGCAGGTGGACTGAATTTGGGTACTTGGCAGACGTAACAGTACCCGGTCCTTTGGTCTGAGAGTCAGACCAGCAGTGTTATGAAGCCCAGTAGCCATCAGAACAGGCATCACAGCTCCACAGCTGGGGAGAGACTGAGAGCTGGTGAGGAGACTGAACATCAGGGCTAAGGTGCCCTAAGGCTCCCATGGGACACCAACAGGCTTCAGCAGCATCTGCTCAGGTCTGCAGGGCATGAATGGGGGTCCAGACAGGTTACAGTGTGCAAGGCCATTAGAGGGAGCCTAGAAACCCATCCGTGCTCTGTGGCTCCCAGACCATGAATAAGCCCGGAGGAATACAGCAGGGGGTGCAGAGCAAGGGAGTGAGGGACAAAACACATGCATGTTAGTGCTCTAGAACAGCACGGGAAGGAGCTGAGCCTTCCTTGTCTAGCCTGACCAGATGGAATGGGCTGCTCCTAGAAGGCAAAGCAGCAGTGTTCTTCTGCCTAAGCAAACTTCCTTGGGTGCTCCCTCAGCAGTACAGGTGAAAGCTTTGCTGGGTAGAGATGGGCAGCTGCATAAATAAGGAGCAAGGGCTGCAGTGCGTGGCTCTGAGATGCTGCTGACTGGGGTGCAACCACTGCCAGCAAATGGCCACTCCAGTGCTTATCTCAAAGCAGGGAGGGGATTTAACCACAGATCAGGAGTTGGATAGTCTAACCATCCTGACTGCGCTGTGCCAATGGGACGAAGCAACACTGCATGTGCATCAGATTGTGAGCCAGCTGTGTCCATCACCTCTGGAACAACCCTGATCTCTGCATCGTGCAGATGTGGACTTCAGTTCTGTTCCCTGAAGTGGAGGCAGCATATTAGGACAGTGACAGTTTAGCAACATAACGAGTGACTTTTTGGCAGTGCTCTCTGCAGTCAGGAACCACGGGTCAATTAGAACCCACTCTCCCCCATGCCAGCACCATGGGCTTTTGCTAGCTGTGCTGAAGAATCTTGTCAGTCTCTGGCCGGAGCAATGTGATCTTCCTGCCTTGGCCAGGGCTCCATCTGCAACAGGAAGAGTTAGGATCACATTGAGTCCTCAGGCTTCTGAAAGGGATTCAGAAAACTTTGCTCTTGCAGGTACCTTCCACTCAAGGATGTCAGGAGACTACTGGGGAGCTAATGTCTGGTATCTAGGTGTCCCTATAGCTCCCCTCACCATGTTATTTAAAACCCCCTGGGAGAAGCACAGGTTTGTTCTGTGGAGGAACACAATGCCATCTATGATGGCAGAGGCTGAATCAGGGTTTATTTTGGGGCTCTTCCCTAAACAGCACCAAGAATCTCTCCTTCTTTGCATCCTTCAGTCTAAAGTTCTATGTAGCCCCATCATGTGAATGTTAAGATTCAACACACAGAGATGATGCTAAGAAATGCTGGAATACAGCTTCCTCTGGGATGGTGTGATCCCTGTATAACAGGGTGCATGCCTGTGGGACTGTAATACAGCTGCAGGCAGTGGAGGAGGATTACAGGCCTGCATAAGGAGGACTGGACCAGCTGATTAAAATAATTGGCTGGTCAAAGTACATTAAAAGCAGGTGAGAAGAGGAAGCAGGAGGGGCTGAAGGTAGAAGTACCAGCCAAGGCTCTCTCCAGAGAGAGGCTGCAGGGGTGGGTTAATCCTTTATGGACTATATAAGGCTTATTATTAAGGACTAACTGGAGTTTAAGAGGACACTGGAGGGGCTGGTGAACCCAGGGGATAAAGACTGTGTATAGCTTAAAGATTGGGAGAAAGTTGATAAAAGTGGGTTGAACCCCAAACCTGCTACACCCTGTCTGAGAGCATACCACAGTTTAGGACAGGAAGCAAAGACAAAT